CTACTAACACATCTACTGAAGCATCCAGCTCCAACCCACCGGGCAGCAATATAGCACCGATGAACACAAACTAACTAAATGAGTACTAATATAAATCCTACATCTTTTCACCCCCTAACACTCTCTATTTGTATACACAATGTACAAGGATTTAATAACAATACCAAAAAAGAAGCCTGGGAACATTACAAAACCTCGATATTATTAGTATCACAAAAACCAAACTTTCAAGTGAAACAATTCGATACAAATGAGACAAAACCCAACACTATACTCACTTATGGTCATGCACAAATAGCTTCCGGGCAGGAACTGCAATTATGATACGAAACAGCCTAGCTCCACACATCCACCACATTAGCACAGTAGCAGGGCATGCAATTGCAATTGACCTGTTCTTTAAACATAACTTCAAGTTCCATATCATTTCTATCTACCTCCCAGCAACGATGCCCAGCTCTGACTACAAGTTCAAAACACAGTAATCCAGTGGCTACAACAAGCCCAAGCGCAAAACACTCTCCCTATAACTTTAGAAGACTTCAATGCCTCCATTGACAATATCCACTTACAGTCAATCAAATATAAACTTCTTCAGTACCTAGCATACAACAATATATACAACCTAGCCTCACACTTCAATATGTCAGCACCAACTTGGCACAAAGCCAACCTCAGTAGTAAAATTGACTTTATTTGGGCATACCAACCAATCCTCCAATATCTCACTGACTACGAAACTGACAACTCTGATACAAGCACTCTAAGTGACCATAAAATTCTAATTTCTTACTGGCTTTTCCCCTATGCAACAACAGGACAACAAAGACATAAAACCTGTACTCGAAAAAGAGTCCTTAATTACAAAGCAATGAACAAAGAAGAATGGGAAAACTTTGCAGATCAAGTTAGTTCAAACTTACAACTACACTATATACCACTCATTCCTACAAACTCAGAGTCTTTAGAAAGAATATGGCATAAAATTCAAACTAGTCTAATTACAGCAGCACTTAAGCATATTCCTAATAAGTGATTCACAGTTCGTAACTTCCATCACACATTTTTTGCCAAGGCAACTCAGATCCATTATAGCCTCAAGAAGATTGGTAATATAATAAGAACAGTAAAGCGCTCAACTAAATCTGGCTCCCAAATCCCTTTATATATCAACAACACAATAACACAGCTTAAGAATAAATACTGGCTTGAGATACCCATACTAGCTGTCGTAGGGAGTCTTAGCTGCGGGGTCTTAGGTTGGTGTTCTCTAAGATTAAACACTCATTTGGCGCTAGTTTTCGCACCAGGCACATATACCCCAACAATCTATATATGCCGCGTTCACTAAAAATATTTACTTATCAGAGCAAAACTTATTATTTTTGTGTTGGAAGAAAATTGGGTTTGCTTATGAATTCCTTTATTTGTATTTATATTGAACTATTTAATCTGACTACAAATTGGTTTAATCAAACAACATTGGATGACTACATTTGTTATGCGCAATTACGCACATACTATAATAGACTATAAACAATTACATTCGTATGACATATATATTACAATAAACTATGCATGCATGAAATCATTGATCTGATCAATTTACACTCAGTACCCTGGTCACCACGGGCACCACGTGCTCATCATATTCAACCAACATTCCTCGAACATAATATACCGGCATCTGCTCACCAATATGACAGGAGCTAGATCTATATTACTCTTATCCTCGAAGTTATCACTTATATAATTATAATTCATTTCCATCCATAAGACCCTTTGCTTTAGTTTTTTGACTCTATTTCTCGTAAACGGGTTCTTTAACTCACTTCCATCCACTTCGTTTAAATACAGATGCCCTTTTGTACCAATTTTTCTCACAATGTACAGCCCTATCCATCTATAGTCCAACTTACGGAGAGAGTTATCAAGTGTTGAATCATACACTAATACCAAATCACCCACTTCAATACGTTCCTTATGGTGGTTAGCATGCGCATCATGAAAATTTTTCCACTTGTTCCGAAGTTCATTTCGATTTATTCTTGCCTTTTGCAATTCGTTAACAAGATCTTTAATTTGTTGCATCCTAAAACTTAACAATTCATCGGTTGTCCAATTTTCTTTTGTTATAAAGACTTGATAGCTCTTCAATGTTAATTCAACAGGAGTTATGACATCACGGCCATATACTATCCTAAAAGGTGAGTAACCCAACTTTCCCACAGTAATATTCAATGCCTATACTGCAGCACGTAAGTATTCATGCCATCAGTTTTGGGCTTGAGCACAAACTTTTCTGATGATTTGAGTTAATTTTTGCACCGTTGTTAGTGTAAATTATCACCCTATCACATCCCCGACGCCGGGCATATGGTTCATGTGCCAATTAGGATGATCGTGTCGCTCTATCTGTTGATCTCGTTGTGTAACCTTAGATAGGCTATACTTTTCGTAGTCACCTTGTAATTTAATGATAAGGGTGTGAAAACTCTACTGATAAGAGTTGAGCAGCGGTAGAATGAAAAAGTATTGGGATTGAGCGTGGGATTTCATGTAGGTCCTGATAAGAAAAGCATGTATTTATAGGCATTGTATTCGCCCTCAATTGAACTTCCAGACTTCATTTTAGATAGATTCGATTTCTTATTTAGTAGTAGTTTATTATTTGATTATTTTGACTTTATTCATTTATTTTCTTTTATTTATTTTCCTGCTTAACCTATACATATTTATTTATTTTTATCTATTTATTCTTTGTTTTACTTTTGTTATCTTCTGTTTTAGTTTCATATTTCAACGTATTTGAAATATTTAATAAACTTATTTATTATATCCTCCGTCTTAAATTATCTAAATTATACGGCGCATACACTTAAAGTGTCCCGCGCATACATATTAATTGTACATCACATATTTATCCGAATCGTAATTGTTGACTCATATCATAATTACTCCAAATCCGTCGTCCAACAATCACCGGTCCCGAATTGTATAATCGCCCACCACAATACACCCCCTGAAGAACCCGATACATCACCTTAACTGTATTGTTAACTCCACCCATTCTCTTCCCGTTACTATCAAAGCTAATCAGGCTTATTGGCCGTTCGCTCTCCCACTTGATAGTAACAACGGCATTGCGCTCACACCACTAACTGTACGTTGTAAAAGGGTAGATCATCGCTGAGGTGATTTGTTCGATTCGGATAGAAATCTGCCAAATCTGCCATAAAGGGCAGAAATGGCATATATAGCAGATAGCAGATATGGCATATAGAATAGATATAGTGGGTGGAATTAACGAATTAGATAGTAATTAAAGAATGTATATAAAGATTAAAAGTTTACCTTGAATAAAGTCAGTCAACGTTTTGCATTTACAGTCTAGTAGTCTAAAAAGGTTCCTCATTCCAGTGTTGGACAATTCCATAATGTCATGTGATGTTTCATATAATATTTATAGAATCATATGAATAATATGCCATAATGACACTTATATTGATATAATATTTAATATGATAATTTATATCATTTATATGACATCACCTTCCAACACTGTTCTGCTAGTTCCCCGATAAATGATCCTGTGACTCAGAATTAGAGCCTCTCACGTATTATAGAGCTCTAATCTAGAGATCAGACCCGGGTGCAATTTTCCGACCCGGGTCACCCGTATAAATTAAAATCGGGTGATCCGAGTGATATATATATTAATTAAGAAACTAATTAAATTTCTAAAAATGATTTTAAAAAAACAAGCAAATAACCAAGTACTACGTAACAATTTAATATCTCAATATTATTATATCTTCTTTCCAATATTTATTTAATTTATTCACATTTTCTTTTTTTATCTTGTAAATTGATTAAATAAATACTATAATTACAGTGTTATATATTTTGTAGATTTTAAATTCTTTTTATTAACTAAAAAATTTAAAACAATGAAATTACATCAGAATTTCTTTTCATAAACATAATTTTGCTTACAAGCTTTGGATTTAGTCGATTGCACTTAGCAGTAATAAGATTACCCACATCTAAAAATAATCTTTTACTGGGAACAGAAAATGCGAGAATAGATAAGTACCTTCGAGCCAATTTTGCTACATTAGGAAATTTTGTTTTCCAATTTGCCCACCATTCAAATAGATTTTCATTATCTTCAGCAATATGAGTTCATATAGGATCCAAGTAATATTCTAATTCATCTAAGGGACCAGATGTAATATTATTTGACGAAGTACCAAAATTGATAAGTGTAATTGACCATGGCAAATATCACTATTTTTTGAAGTCGTATTTATTGATACCATTGTTTGTTCATTATCTGAAGCAATTAATAACTCAAATTGGTGTGTTAACTTGGCTTTAGCTTTTTCTTGAGTTATATCATCCCAACTAGAGAGTGTTTTTAAGCAGAGATCTAAAAGTGATGCTAACAAACCAGTCATTACAGGTTCACTTCAGTAATCAAATAGAGAATTATAAATAATATTTTTCATTATATTAATCACTTGGATATTTTGTAAAAAATCGGTAGTTGAATTAGTAGAAGTAGCTCTAGAAGAATGTGTTTGGTGATAGTCTGTTGGAGCTTCTGAAGTGTCAACATCTGACTTTTCACTATCATTATCAGATGATTCTTCATGACAAAAATTTGGCGTATCTGCTAAATATAATAAATTGTTAAACTTATTGCTAATATCATATGGGTTCTGCAAGTGCCAGGTATGGTACCAAAAAACATAGTATCTGCATGCCAAGTATTATGCTTATTAGCACCATGTCTGGTACTTGCTAAACCCTACTAATAACTTCTATTTTGTTTTACTATAATTACCATCTTCAAATAAAATATCATATGTTATTTTAATATTAGCAAATGTGTATTTAAGAGCTTGAATTAAAGGGTAAATAATTGATAAAGTAGCATACTTCGAGCTACTAAAATAAGTGGTAGTATCATCAAATGGTTCCATTAAAGTTATAATCTAACTTAATAAATCCCATTTATGAGGTAATAAAAGTAATTTTTTTAGTTTTCGACTATTAGCTCTATCATCTGAATTATCAGATAAAGGTAGTGTTGCATCTAACCATTCAATTGCTTTATACAATTTAAGTAGCCGCTTCTATGAATAGTATTTCAAATTCCACTGAGTCTCAATATCTGCGATGCTTCATAGAATAGGTTCTTCAAAATTTGCTAGCAAGTCATCCAAATCACTATTATTTGAACTTGACACATCTGTTAAGTTATTATTTTGAGTTTGCAAATGCTGCTGATATTCTCGCTATGTATCATCTAGACGCTCACTTTGCTTTGGTAATTTAGTAAAAAATTGAACCAATTTTTTTATTCCTTTAATATAAAAATTTGACTTTTTAAAAGTATGTATAACTGAGAGCTGCAAAGTGTGAGCCGCACAGGACAAATGTTCAATTCCTTCTCACAAACTAATCGCCTTAACCATATTACTGCCATTATCTGTTATAATACAACTAATCTTTCCGTCTAACCCAAATTCAAAAACTCTTTTTTTTAAAATTGAAATTATATTTTTAGCTGAATGCGGGTATGGCATATGCTCCATACAGAGAAAACAATCATATACTCTAAAATCATTTGATAACCAATGGAGCATTATGTCTATATACCCATGTTTACTTTTAGAGATCCACAGATCAACTATTAAAGATGCCGATTCACATGTATTATCTAATAGTTTTTTTAAATTTTTGACTATATTGGGATAGTTACAAATAATTTCCTTTTTTATTCCCTTATCAGTAGGAAGACGAAAGGCTGGGTCAATTTTTTTCATCATTTACTAATAACCATTTCTCTTAATAACATTAAATGATATATTGTCAACAACAATCCACTCAGTGATTGCTTGCCAAATTTCATGATTTCGTAATTCTTTATGCATTTTAATAACTTTTGCTTGTTCAAAAACTTTATGTATTGTCTGTTAAGTAGTATAATTATGATTCTATACAATAATCATATAAATATTAAATATTTACCAATAATATAATAATTAATTACATTAAATATTAAACATTAATTAATATAAAATTTATCTTATTCTGATTTTCATATATGTTATACTTACTTTGAAGGTAACTGCTCATATTTTCTGTATTACCATCATGAATAAATTTGTGACCACACTCAACTTCTTTATCACTTAAATTCATTACCTTGACTTTATACACATCGTACATTCTATCTTTACTCTGCTTAAAATGTTTCCACACCCAACTAGACTTCGCATATTGCTGCTTAATATACTAATAATTTAATTTCCTCTTTTTTGTGCTAGAAGGTTGTTCTTCTGAAAGAGGGGCCACATTACTAGAACTAACAGATACATTATTGCTGACCTCATAATTCGAATTAAAGGATGTAAATTCTTGTGGAAGTTCAAAAGATATAGGCTCTTCTGAAAATTTATAAGTATCATCATTATCGCTTTCATTATTACTCATTATAAAAAAAACCAGCTGAGATAAAAGAGATATTATTGTATCTGTTCATGCAGTATTGGAAGTATTGAAAATTGTGCAAAAAAAAAAAAAAAAAAAAGATAGGGAACCAAAAATACTTGATTATTTGGATTAATTTCTAAGAGATAAAAACTGCTGAGTATTATTGTATACTATACTGGAAGTATTGAAAATTGCAAAAGAAAAGTAGGAAATCGCTTAAAAAAAAAAAAAAAAAAAAAAAATTTGATCTGATCTATTTTATTATTGACGCACTTTTTTGGTTAATGACATATCTAACCCGATTTGACCCGGGTTACAAATTTTGGACCCGGGTCACCCGTTTTAACACGGGTGACCCGGGTTATTATAAACCGGTTCGGAACTCTACTCTAATCTAGCACCCTAATTACTCGGACCAAATCTCACCACGCCTCGATCGTAACCTACTATTATTAGGGTTTAGGCTAAGTGCGTTGGTTTAGGCAGTAGCAGTTTTAGTTGATATCCGTATTAACCATATTTCCTGATTCTGGAGCAGTTACCACTTTTACAACGTGCGTACATATGTGTTTATAGCTCAAATCAGAGCTAAACAAAATACCGGGTGTTTCAAAAGTTCCAAAACACAGTTCCTTTTTTTTTAAGTGACCTAATACATAGAGATCATTTATGTAAATATAAACAATAATCGTGATCTTTATGTATAAGGTCACTTAAAAAAAGGGACCGTGTTTTGGAACTTTGGAACATCCGGTGCCATTGCCCATTGTTTAGAATACTGTACATTTCTGATACATCAAATATCATACAAATTAAAGTGAATCAGCAATGATACAAATCAAATGGTCGGCATTTATTACTGTATATTACGTTTTAGCCCTGAATCAAATATTTGTATATAATTATATATACAGTTCAAATATTTGTATATAATTATAAATATAAGATTTTATTATTTATAGCAGTGGCGATGTATTGTCAGTCCCCATCACGTGCTTCATATATACCATTTCTAAGTTTCAAAAAAAAATACACAATATTAGTTTTATGTAATACAGTATTAATGTGTTTTTTCTTTTAATACCACCCCTTTTTTACAAGATATCATGTATGTTAAAACAGAAAGTTTGATCAAGTTCTAAGAAAACCAGACAATAATCATTTGGCTATTTTGAAATATAAAGTGCGATGCTAAACTTTTTAGTAAATTTGAAGAAATTAGTCTTTTGCAACCACTCATTTATTTTTATCTTCATCTTGCAAGATAATAACGATAATGACAACGTAGTCCCGTGACGGTATACTGCAGTACTGTATTATGTGGTGGTACATTATTCACTATTTTCGGAAAAAAATACCAAATTTGTATAATTTGATTAACCTCTGTTGATTTGACACATTATAAAAGTTTGGTACATTATAAAAAGCCACAACACTCTTTTTTCTCACTCTTTGTGATCATGTCTCAATCAGGAGAATCTACAACAGTTTTTGATGCTGAAAGAGAACAATTTTTAAATTCAAAATCCTCTTCAAGAATTGCTTTAACTGTTGATGATGCTGAAGTAGATTATGAAAATGAAGAATCTTTTTACGAAAGTGAACTACGAACGGGTTTAGATTCTATAATTGAGAATATCGGATTTGGAAAATTTCAAAAACAATTATTGGTTTGTTTTTATATTTCGATTTGATGTCATGATATATATATATTTATATAAGAAATTTTGAAGGTGCTTTGCGGTTTCGGTTGGCTTGCTGATAATGTAAGGAACTTTTTCTTGTTGATCTGTTTCTAAGTGGAAATTCAGTGATCCATTTGTTTTCTTTACTACTTTAGATGTGGTTACAGGTATTTTGAACTATCAAACTCTATAGTGAATCTATATTAGTAAATCGGTTTATTCGCTCATTCTTGATACAATTTAATAGTGTGTAACATTGATACTACCAAGAGTTCAAGGTTAGTAGCGTTAAACCTTTTTATATAAAGCAAAAGGTGATTATGGGAATATTCCGTCTCCTTTTAATATGAGGTTCTCATACGCTATTTATTCCTTTGCACATTCTTATTATCGATCGTAATAGTTCATTATCAGGTTTCAAATTCAATAATTGGTTTTCTACCTAGTTCTGTAACATTTGGTATGATGTTCGGTGCAATATTTTGGGGCATCTTTTCTGATTCTTATGGACGTAAACAAGCATTCAATTGGACTTTGGCGGTGACCGCTTTTTTTGGTATATTTTCAAGCTTTGCCCAGAGTTTTACCCAATTATGTTTTTTACTTTTCTTTTTGGGATTTGGTGTCGGTGGAAATTTACCTGTAGATGGTAAGCTTTCCATTTTATACTTTGTGAAATACATACCTACATATCAATATACATATATATACCTAATCCATTCTATTTAATTGGATTTATAGGTACAATTTTTTTGGAATTCGTTCCCAAAAATCAACAACATCTTCTCACATTTATGTCTATATTCTGGCCATTTGGGGCTGTTATTACCTCTATAGCTGCATATATAATATTACCTCAAAATAGTTGTCCTGAAAGTGATGGTATTACATTTTCCTGTGACATTTCAAAAAACAATGGATGGAGATATTTGTTGGCTACTATGGGAGGTTTGGTAAGATAAGATCAGTATTTAAAAAAAGAAAATGTTTTTTATCTTAAAATCTTTTTTTTTCTTTTTTTTAGACATTTCTTATGCTTATAGGTCGTGTGCTTTTCTTTGGCCTTAAAGAATCACCAAAATTTCTTTTGGCAAGTAATAGACATCATGAAGCTGTAATAGTTTTACGTGATATTGCGCATATTAATGGCCGTGAAATTTCGGTTGATGCTAGCGATCTATCAACCTCTGATGAAAATCCTCCCAGAGTATCCATATCAATGACATACCCACCTGCTAAAATACACTCTAACAAACATTATAATTACAAAGACTTCTTTGTTGATCCTATGTATTTTATAAAACGCCGTGTTTCATCAAAGCGTCAAGATATGGCTCCTCTTTTTACACCTAAATGGATTAAGACGACCATACTTGTATGGACGATATGGTCTATAGTATCGATGGCGTATGTAATGTTCAACGTGTTTCTTCCAAAATATCTCGAAGCACTAGCAGGAAATGAAAATAAGGGATCTACTGGTTCGGATGTGTTAGATCAAGTTTTAAAAGATATACTTATATATTCCGCTTGGGGAATACCAGGTTCCTTAATTGGAACTTGGTTAATTGATACACCACTTGGTAGAAGATACACGATGGCTGCTGGTGCTTTCAGCACATCTCTTTCTGTTTTTTTGTTTTCCGTTCTTCAATCAAGAATTGGAACAATTATATGTTGTTCAGCTATTAGTTTGTTCACTACTATTAAATATGCGGTCATCTACGGATATACTGCTGAAGTATTTGAAACAAAAGTCAGGGGTACTGCAAATGGGATTGCTTCTGCATGTGCAAGAATGTGAGTTTTTTTTTAATTATCGTTCTACTGTGGTAATCAGTTGTCTTTGCTCGTAATTGATAAACCAGGTAAAATTCACCACCCAAATTTATTTCAGACCATGCTATATTATGATTTAATGAGCATCATTTCATTACGTCATTCAAAGTATGAAAATGATATTCGCTAAAATCATATCGCATAATCTGAAATAAATTTGGGTGGTGAATTTTACCCGGTTTAATTGATACAATCTTTTTAACAATGCTGTATCTATATATTTATTTATTTGTAGAACCGGTATAATAGCTCCGGTAATCACGGGTAATCTTTTATCAATAAGCTTGGTAGTACCAATATACGCATCAGCTATCCTTTTCTCAATAGCAGGATTTTGTATGGTTTCACTGCCAATTGAGACTAAAGGACGGCAAGCGTTATAAATTAGTATACAAATCTAATTTATTTAGTTTGTAATATCATAAACATAGAAATATTATAAATATTATCATAATATAAAATGTAATAAGCAAGAAACAAAAGTTTAATATTTCTCAGAATTTTTAATATCTATTTTTTTTTTTTTTGGATTTTTAGATAGTTGATAAATAAAAAATTCCTGTTTTGCCAAATTCAAGTTAATAGAATAAGATGCAAATAGACATAAAAATAGACACACTAAACATTACACATGTATTAAATCAAATCTTTGATCTTAAAAAGTCTGTAATTTCTCTAATAAAATCTATTTATACTCAATTTGGACTCAGTCGATTGATCTCTTTCCATTTATTATTAATCATAAATATACTTATAAGGATTCATGATACCGTTTGGATCAATACTTTGTTTTATCTGCTTCATAATGTTGATCATTTTCTGTGATTTAGAATATCCTATACAACCAGCTTTCATTAGACCTAAACCATGCTCTATTTATGTGTACAAATAAATAAAGGTTAAAACTTAAAATAAAAAAACAAAGAAAAAATGGACAAAACAGGAACTACCTGCTGATATGGATCCTTTGTGTTTTTCTGGAATCAAAATATATCATGAATAATATTATTATTTTGTAAGAAATTATAAATGTTTTCGTTTACCTGTCCATTCGTAGACATAAGGCTCTATCAATTTGGTTATCTCAAGGGAATATGATTTTGAGACGATATTTAAGTGTATATTACCTATTTATTGACAAATTAATGAACGTAAGTACATCACTTGACTGAAATGTGATACGAAATATTGAATTAATTTCGAAGAAAGAGAACTCACCATCACCAATGTGACCATATCCCATAACATCCGTTACAAGTTTATCCTTGCCAAATACACCAGCATCCTTTAACCTCTTGCTTATATCTTCGACTATGTTGTAGAAAACTGGCACTGGTATAGATAGATCATATTTATATACAGAACCAGACTTACTACCAGCTTCAGGTATCCCTTCTCTAATTGACCATAGATTTTGAAGTTGTGTATTGTCTTGTGCGACAACACCATCTTCGACAATTCCTTTTTCCATTAAAATTTCCATAAAATTGTGAAGTTTCTAAAAAACAAAAAGAAAAATCTCAAGATCAATTCTTATTGGAATAAAATTAGAGAATTTAGACTCACTTCTTCGTTGTGATCCTTATTGGAACCACTAGTCTCAACTAAAACGTAGAAAGGATATTTGTCTTCTAAAGGAAATTTTGTTTCTTGAAAGAAATGATTTTTTACCAGTCTTAGCGAGTGAATATCCCAAAATTCAAAAGCTATATGTGTCATTTAATGTCAGTATCTTATTATAACTACCGACTACTGTAAATTTTAAGGACTTTATTCAACACCTGATAAAATTTCCGTTAATTCTCCTTTGGATATGATAAATGCTTCTTGAACATTTTGAAAAGAATTTAAGCAAAATACAGCAACGTTAACCGACTGTCAGAAGTAAGTTTCTGTGTAAGTCATTAAAATTTTAAACAGCTCCTTTACACAAGAAAGGTCGCACATATATATACCTTGGGACGCCTTGGTGTTAAAATTGAAACCCCAGTAATTATACCCAGCGTACCTTCTGAACCGATGAATAACTGTTTAAGATCATAGCCTGAATTCGACGACACAATTATTTAAAATATTTGAAATATGTATGCCATATTTATGCTACATGTATAGGCGCAAAATAACGCACGTGAGCGCAGGGCTGGCAATGGAGTCAATGTAGCTCAATGGTTACGCGAATGGAGCTCAAAAACTAGTATCCATTGGCTCCACTCAGAGCTCCATCGGCTCCATTCGCAGTTCTATTAGACTCCATTGAGCTCCATTGCCAACCTTGCGTGGACGTTATTTCGAAAATTCCATTTTTTTGAGAATCGCATACTTGACTCAAAATAACGCCCATACGCGTCCCGAAATAACACGCCCCACATACATATTCTCAGAAAAGTTTTTAGTAGTTGTAGCTTTTTTCTTAAAATTTAGGATAACGATTCCAATTATCGCGAATCTGCGCGTTGTTACGCGTCTATACGGTATGTTACACATAATAGTATCAAATATCCATATCTACCAGTATTATCTTTGCGAAGTGTAGAAAGATTATCCAATATGGTTCCATTGGGAAGCACCTATTCAAAATATTGCTTAAAAATAGCTCGCTCATTTTATACAAGCATGGTTATTTACAGATTCACAGCATACCACTTCCAATCCTAATACATTGCCATGTAGAGAACCATACCGTAATAATCTTAATCCGCCAGCATTCGTTGCAACATTACCACCAATATGGCAACTAATATAAAATTAAGTATAGAAAACGCTTGGGAAATATGAAGTCTAAAAAAGCAATAATAATGATAATAAATAATTTACCTGCCTTTGGCCCCTAAATCCAATGGTACCATATAACCTCGTTCAGCAAGATAACTATCAAGAGCCTCAAGAATACAACCAGAATCACATACGAGAGTACCTATTGCGCAGTAAAATTGAATCATATTCTTTTTTTTTTTTTTTTACTCGTATATGGAGCAAAAATTTATAATTCCTACCAGATATAGGATCAAAATCTCTTATTTTATTTAGATTATTGGTACTAATAATAATTTCATCAAATACTGGTACACCACCACCTAAAAATATTATGATTAATATCTATTAAAAAAGAAAAATTTTAATTAAATTTAAATATCCTTACCAAC